AATAAGCCATGAGGAAAACGTTGGTGCAACAAATGAAGGTCTTAGCTCCCTTGCAGTGGAATAGCCGTTCCTGGGTTCAGCGGCAAAGCAGTGAGGGTAGCTGAGGCTGCTGGAGGCGACCGCTCAGGCCAGGCCACAAATAAAAGTGAGAGCGCACCCAGTTAAACTAAGACCTTAATTCAGAGGCTTCGTTCAGAGAGCCTAGCAGCAAAAGCTTGCTGCAGCCCCACAGGTGCTGGACGCTGAAGAGTTCCCACCAGCCTGGCTCAGCGCTCTGCACCCAAGCAGCCCACCTTACCCCCACCTTCCGAAGGTGGAACCACGAGGACTTCCGAATCAGATGCACTTTGGAATCTGAGATGCTTGGTAAGAAGCTCATTCCAAATCTAGAAGTTCACTGCTATCAGGATGTCCTTCTCAGAGCTTTCAGTGCACAAAGAAACGGACGTGTCTGCCTGCCCCTGAGGCCGCTATTCCTAACCATGCTACCAACCCAGGCCCAGCTCTCCCTCCGGGGCCTTCCTGCCGCGCCCAGCCCTTCTCCAGGCCCACGATGGGGAGGAAGCCCGGCCAGTCTCCCAGCCCGCACCAGTCCACTCCTGGCTGCCACGCCCAAGGCAGTCTGGGCCTTCTCTCAAGCGAGAGCGCAGCGGGCCGGGGGAGAAGTGGAAAGACACAAACGGCTGCGGGGCTGGGACCACGAAGCAGCAGCCCCGCACTGCGGGGGGCTTGGCAGCGGTAGGGGGTTGCAGAGCCCTAACTCTTGGCCCGCCCAGTCCGGTGACCTTTTCCACGGGGGATGCTGGCCCCTGCTGGCCGCGCGAGAGATCGCAGGGTGGCTGTCGCCGCGGGAGAGTAGAGAGGCCAGGAAGCGGTGCCAGCCCCGGGAAGGGGCTGAGCTCTCAGGGCAGCAGCAGCCCGCGGCCCGGCCCCTGCGTGGAGGCGGTTAGCCTGGAGGGGAGCTGGGAGAAGGCAAAGACAGGAGGACCTGGGCACGAGGCCCCGAGTTTTGGTCCTGTCCCCGCCACCACCCTGGTAACAGTGCTAGCTACCTCAGCATCTCCCTGCTCACACGTGCTATCAAACGCCTCATATCATAGTTTCTAGAAAGGAGATAAGTCAGAGGAGGTGAGAGGTCTCTAGCATGACTGGCTCTGGTCTCCCTCCAGGGCCTACCTGTGCCTCCAGAAGACTTCCTTCAGCCTGATGTCCTCCTCAAGACCAGCCAACCCGGAACCATGAACTGGTGGGGCCGCGTGCATTTGACAGGTTACTGACTGGGTGGGCTGAATGATGGCCCCCAGGGACAGCCAGGTCCTAACCCCTGGAACCTGTAAATATTATCCTACATGGCAAAATGGACTTTGCTGGTGTGACTAAAGGCCCTTGAGATGGGGAGATTATCCTGGATTATTCAGATGGGTCTTAAATGTAATCACAAGGGTCCTTCTAAAAGAGAGGCAGAGGAAGATTTTACTACAGAAGACAGACAAAGCCATATTACAAAGGAAGCAGAGAGAGGGAGGTTTGGAGATGCTATGCTGCTGGCTTTGAAGATGGGTAAGAGGCCAAGAGCCAAAGAATGCAAAGACTGCGGCTCTGGAAGCTAGAAAGGGCAAGGAAATGTAGAGCCCCTGCAGGCTCTGCTGACCCCTTGATTTTGGCCCAGTGAAACTGATTTCAGACTTCTGATCTGCAGAACTGAAAGAGAATAAATGTGTGTTGCTTTCAGCCACCAAGTTTGTGGCAATTTGTTACAGCAGCCACAGGACGCTAATACATGACCCTCTACTCTCTCTCTGACTCTTGTACTCAGCACTTGGGATCCAACAGTGAATCAGACAAACCTCCATACCTCCCAGGGAAGTTGACCGTCTGTCTGCCTCTGGATTTTAAAAAGGAACAGCCAAGTGGACATTTTTTCAAAGATATATGAGTGGTCAATAAGCACATGAAAATAAAATGCACAAAATCATTAGCATTAGGGCAATGAAAATTAAAACCACAATGAGATACCATTTCATACTCACTAGGATGGCTATAATAAAAGTCAATAACAAATGTCAAAAGTGTGGAAAAACTATAATTTTCATATATTGCTGATGGGATTGTAACATGGTACAACTAATTTGGAAAATAGTTTGGTAGTTTGTTTGGTTTTTTGAGATAGAGTCTTGCTCTGTGGGCCAGGCTGGAGTGCAGTGGTGCAATTTCGGCTCACTGCAACCTCTGCCTTTCAGGTTCAAGCAATTCTCCTGCCTCAGCCTCCCGAGTAGCTGGGATTACAGGCACCCACCACCACACCCAGCTAATTTTTGTATTTTTAGTAAAGACGGCGTTTCACAATGTTGGCCAGGCTGGTCTTGAACCCCTGACCTCTGGTGATCCACCCACGTCAGCCTCCCAAAGTGATGGGATTACAGGCGTGAGCCACTGTGCCTGACCAGTTTTTTAAAGTGATCTACCCAAAATAAGCACATACTCCAAATACATGTGCATATAAGAACAGAAGCTATGAATGTTCATAGCTGCATTATTCATAGTAGCCCAAACCCAGAAATAAATGTTCACCAGGAAAACACGGTATTTGCAATGGAATATTACTCAGCAATATAAAGGAACAGATTACTGTTATGCTGCAACATGGGGGAGTCTCAAGAACATTACACTAAGAGAAAGAAGCAAGACACAGAAGACCACATATTGTATTATTTATATAAAATGTCAAGAGGCAAATCCATACAGACAGAAAGATTAGTGGTTGCCTGGGACAGGGACAGGGTAGGAATGGGAATGGGAATGGCTACAAGTAGAAGTATCTTTGGAGTGATAGCATTTTAAGGTTGGATCATTATGGTGGAACAACTCAAAATGAATTTTATGATATACAAATTAGACTTTAATAAAGCTAGGTTTTTTGTTTTATTAAAGGCAAGTCTAGGATATAGGATAATAAAGCCTCAAACCTCACTGGAGTATTTGCATTTTAAGAGAGGGACCTTAAAGATTTTGAAACCTATAGTATGATGGAAGGCCTGGTGACAGAACAGACCTGGGGACTATGGCCCAGCACCTCTCTGGATCATCCCGGTGGGCAGCCCTACCACCCTGTACCGCAGCTATGCTGTGCCACCTTTCACATTCTGGGGAGCAGTGGGAACAGAGCTGCACACTGTTCGCCTCATACCTTCGCTGGGGCTCAACATGGGAACCAGTGCATGCTCCATACAGCCACGATTCACACAAAAGCACCCCGTGCCTGATGCCTCTGCTTTCCACGAGTCAGGCATGGAATCTGCTCCTCCCACCCCCAGAGCTGGGTCTGTGGAGACACTGCATTCCCCTCCTCTCAGTAGGGCTCTGTACCTCACCCCACCCGGCTCTCCCCAGCTCCATTCTGCTGACTAGGCTGCTCTCTAGGGAGGTTAAGATGTGGAAGCTGGACCAGGAGGCTGCTGCAGCAAGATCAGAGCTGCCAATCCCATTTAGCTCTGCATCTCTCAAGAACCTAAGGCCAGCTTAGAAGCACCCCTCATACTGAAGCTTTCCTTCAAGTAAAAGAGTTCCTTCAAGTAAAAGAGTGCCCATGCCTGGCACTGCAGAGAATGTGGCCCTGCTTCCAGAAACTCAGGACCCACCCTGCCTAATTCGAAGTTTTTCTTCTTGATCTACTTTACAAATCTCTCCCATCTTACCTCCATGAGACGCAAGCACATACAAGTATCTATTCTCTCATGGCATGTGAATTCCCCCATCCTTTAGCTCAGTCTAATAAAAGCAAGCAAACCGTGGGTGAGAACCATATTTAAGACCTCTAGCATCCTCTCCAATGGTCTCCTCTACAAAATGACAAGTGTAGGCCTAAAACAGAGGAATGGGAATAGCTCCACTTTTAAAAGTAAAGGAGTCAAACATTGCCGGTAGATTTTAAAAAGATCTAGAGGTTTTCTGTTTATTTTTTTAAATTACACATAAAAGGGTTTCTTTTATTTAGGGTGAAGCTGTCAGGCTCTAATAGCAGCCTGGCATAGACAGTGGCCAAAAAAAGAACAGAAGACAGGATCTTGTAATATAAAATAAATACAACTTGTAATCCAATAAAATACAACCAAGGGTGAAGGAAAAAGAAGGAGGAGGTCTCACCCCGCACCCAGCCTAAAAGGAGAGAAAAGTGCTGAGGCCAAGTAAGTTTTCTAAAACATGTTAACAGTTTCTTGTGCGTCCATCACTAAACTCATTTGTTAACTTTCCAAGTTGGTGCCGTGTGCTTCCTGCTCCCCTGGGCACCTCCTGCAGACCACACTCATCACTAGAGTATCTGAGTCACCAGAGGTCTACCTCAGCCCATTGTTGGGACTACAGGCTGGGTCTTGATGCAGAACATACAGCATACAGGCCTTCTCCCAGGGAGAGAGTCAGAAGCCCAGCGTAATTTACATCATGGAGAACAAGGATGATGCACAGGATGGGACTCAAGCTGCTTCTTCCCAAGTTCACAGAGAATCTGTGTGACTTGATGGCACCTCCAACAGGAGACAAGGTGGTCCTCTCTCCCACCCTGCATTATAGACAGGCATCAGGGAGGCAGCAGGCCTCTGATTGCTCCCTCCACACCTGTGGTTCCCAGCTCTGATGAACCTTCTTGCCCTGAGCACCATCTGGAACCCTGGCATGCAGCTTAGGTTGGCAGGGGGTGAAGGGAGGGAGCTTACAGAAGTCCCTCAGGTTGGCCAGGCACACTGACTCACGCCTGGAATCCCAGCACTTTGGGAGGCCCTGGCAGGCGGATCACCTGACGTCAGGAGTTCTAGGCCAACCTGGTCAACATGGCAAAACCCCATCTCTACTAAAAATACAAAAAATTAGCCAGGTGTGGTGGTGCACACCTGTAGTCCCAGCTACTCAGAAGGCTGAGGCAGGTGAATTGCTTGAACCTGGGAGGCGGAGGTTGCAGTGAGCCGAGATCTCACCACTGCACTCCAGCCTGGGCAAGAGTGAGACTGTGTCTCGGGAAAAAAAAAAGAAAGAAAGAAAAGAAAAGAAATTCCTCAGGTCAAAAGTAGGTGCTATAGGTGGGCACTCCTGTAATGTCGTATTCTGACCCAGAGAATTTGCCTTCTTCATATATGTTCTAGTCACGAGTCACACAAGACCAATAACTAACATATGCAACATTGCAGTAAGCACAGCAACTCCAACCAGCGGGCCCACGTAGTTAAGGGATAATCCAACTCCTGAAACACAGAGGAATTTTTTTTAAAGGGAACTAAGTGACAGGCCGAGAACTAAGTAACAGGGTGAGAGCCCATTCCCTTTCCTAATGGGCTCTTGAAAGTACCTTCAGAGATTTATGCTCTTATACCCATCCCTAGCATGTTGTCAGGCACATCATAGATAAATATTTTTTGAGAGAATAAACAAATGTTAACATTTGATTAAAAGCCAAAGCCAGACTTGGAACAAATGAACCTGGTAGTATAAGGGCTCGCCACCTATTTTTGCTATATAGCTCCCTCAAGAACCCTGTGCATGCACACAGAGTTAACTTTGGAAAACGCCTAACATTCCTTTGTGATGCTGAATCTAAATTGCCTGAGAGCTGATGATTAAATATTTTTCATTTTATGCGTATCAAAAATTGTTTATTTTTAAAAAGATTGTTACATTTGAGACCATGTACCCAGAGAAGCACAAGGCCACTTGTATTTCAGAATGTATTCTACCATCAGATAGCTTATATGGATGCAAAGAAATAGAAACTATCTTTAGAGCAAAATCCACAGAAGCTAGATGACTGCAACCTCCAGATGACTGACTCACAGACCCTGTTCCAACTTAACTCTTGTCACTGACTTATCTGGACACCTGGGAGGGCAGGGGAAGAAAAAACAAAAAAACATGAAATATTTTAAATAGTTACATGTAGATTTGTAGCCATAAGAAATTCAATTACTATATACTGAGCTTCTATTTTATGCCAAACTCAATCTTCTCTTGATATATACAAACTAAGAAACCCCCACCTCAAGAAAAAAAAACTTGCAAATAGCATTGCAAGATTACCCACCTGCCCTTAGAGTCCAGTGGAAAAAGATTGTGCTAAATGGCATCTTTGCTGGGATTTCAGCATCTAACATTCAAAGATCTAAACAAAGCCTTCGACATCTAGTCTAATCCTTTGTTTCACAGGGATATGCAAGACCTGAGCACCAAGGTCACACAGCAAGTTAGCAAGATGGGAAATAAAAATCATGTCTATTGATCTGCCTGTGGCAGCACAGGCAGGTTACATTATTTCAGAGGTAACTGTACCAAATGAATTACCATCACCAGCAGTAAGTCCTTAAAAAGGCTAAGGGCATCCGTTAATTCATTACCAACTGCTCTATGCTGGACCCGCTCACGAGGAGCTCACATCGATTTTCCAGTGCAAGTCCCTGCCCAGTATAATCTTTGATAAGAAGAAAAAAAGCAAGACAAAAGCAAGGGTCACAAAGGAGCCTTGGGGAAACAACTGGATGCTCAAGTTAATTCCTACTCACGTCTACTTTGATCAGAGTCAGGAATAGCATCCTATGGAAGTATTTCAAAGGCAAAGTTGCAGAAGAAAAATCAGCACAATGAACATTCTCATAGTAAATGATCTTACAACATGTTCCAAGTTCTAGAACAGTTCCTGGACTTTGTCTAGAACATTTTTCCTTTGGAAAAGGCTTTCTTTGGTATTTGTGGCCAAAGTCTTCAGAATAAGAGCTCCACCCTGACCTGCTCAGGGTACAGGACTTCCAGGAGATCCCAGCAGGTAAATACAGCCAGTGGCAGGGTGCCTGGGCAACCGATACCTGGGCGGGGAGCATGCACACACAGCATGCCAAGCTGCATGGGGGCATGAACTTCAGTCCTCTTGGCAGCGAGGATCACCAGAGCTTTAGGCCTGTCTCACACCCATTCACATCTAAAGACAGAAGAAATAGGCTGTTCTGGTCAGTCTCACTGTCCAGTCCCTTCTACCACGCTGTCTCCCAGTGTCCCAAAGGCTCCTCTGCTGCTCTTCCTCTCTGTTGCTGGCCTCCACCTGTTCCTTGAACACACCACACACAACCCTGCCGCAGGGCCTCAACACTATCTAGAAGCCTCTTCCTGAGGGCTACATGGCTCTCCCTCATCATCTTCTCAAGGAGGCCTTCCTGCACCACCTTTTAAAGACTATTATCACATACATGTGCATACACAAAACCCTATTTATCCCCTTTATCTGATTGTTCTCCATACAGCATATCAACTCAGATACTCTGTAATTTATCCAGTCTATCTCCTGATTAGACTGTGAAGTACACGAGGGAAGGGATTTGCCTTTTAGGTTTGCTATTGAATCCCTAGTGTCCCAAACAATGCCTAACCCATAGTAAAATGCAATACAATATATTACATACATGATGAATTAATAGCCAATTCTTCCTCGGGTTGGGGGACAAGCATAACATTCCCATGATGTAGACTGAGTAAGGGTCTGCTCTCCATGTGAAATGACGTGGCCTAGCATCGGAGGACTTTGCCTAGTTCAACTTGATCCTGATTGAATCATGCCTAATCCAAGTGTGGCACATGATACTGACCACCAGCAGCCAAGAGACCTATCCATACCTTCAAGGAAGGGGCACCTCTTTGCCACCTTGTGGGTTCCTAGAGCATCCTCAGTGATGGCCCTTATCTGGTAAGACAGGGGATCAGGCACATCTATTCCTTGAGACCTTGAGTGTAGCCAGGAAGCATATGTGACATTCACAGTGTCTTTTCTAGGAATGGTTTGAAAGGGAGGAGAAGAAAACAATCTAAACACCACTTGGTAAAGAAATGTTACATTGTTTTTAAAGACTCTGAGATTAGACAGTAAAGTTATGAAACTATATTGTAGACTATTGCATTCATTAATTTAGCTTATTTCAATTCAGGATTCTTTTCCACCAAGTAATTTCTTAATTCATCTCTGTAGGAAAAAAGCTGATTTTCACATGCAGGTTTAGCACAGGGAGTGTTTTTGTTTATTTTTAAGAGACAGCGTCTCTCTCTCTCTCTCTGTCATCCAGGCTGGAGTGTAGTGGTACAATCATAGCTCACTGCAGCCTTGAACTCCTGGGCTCAAGTGATCCTCTCCTGCCTCAGCCTCCTGAGTAACTGAGACTAACAGGCATGTGCCACCATGCTTGGCTAACTTTTTTGTATTTTTTGTAGAGACAGTCTCGCTATGTTGCCCAGGCTGGTCTTGAACTCCTGTTCTCAGGAGATCCTCCTGTCTCAGCCTCCCAAAGTGCAGGGATTACAGGAGTGAGCCACAGTGCCCAGCCAGGGAGAAGATTTTTAATCATACTCTTCAAGACATTAGTGACCCTGGCCACAGTTCATTGTGTTTTACCAGGCTCTTCTCTCATTTACTACAAAGAAAGGGAAAACTGATCAAGATCTTGTTTGACACTCTAGTTTTAACACTTTATGGGTATTTTCCCTTTATTTCAGGTACTTGAACTATAGTAAAACTATATATTTTCTCCCCCAAATGGAATAACCACAAATAACTCAAATTAACAGTTTTGAGACAGGGTCTCACTCCCATCACCTGGGCTAAAGTACAGTGGAATGATCTTGGCTCACTGCAGCCTCTGCCTCCCGGGTTCAAGCAATTCTCCCACCTCGGCCTCCCAAGGAGCTGGGACTACAGGTACACGCCACCATGCCCAGCTAATGTTTATGTACGTGTATTCTTAGTAGATATGGGGTTTCTTCATATTGCCTAGGCTGGTCTCGAATTCCTGGGCTCAAGTGGTGCTCTCACCTCGGCCTCCCAAAGTGCTGAGATTACAGGCATGAGCCACGACACCTGGCCCAACACATCTTGAATAAAAGTACTAAACCTCAAGAACACTTACTTTTCCATTCGTTAGCTTGCCTTCATCATTTTGGAGTGAATAACAGTTGTTTTTTGTTTGTTTGTTTGTTTGTTTGTTTTTTTCCGAAGATCTGCAAGCAAGAGTAGGGATTATGATGGTATAAGACTACTTTTGTTTGTTATTAGAACTAGCCAAGAGACAACACATTCCTACCAACTGATTGTGGAGGCTGCCTTCGGATTGAGAATACTTTGGAGTGTTGCCAAAAAAGACCCAGTGGACCGTGGCATCATGTAGACCACTGTTGCTTATCTCTGTTAGGAGTGGATTCTTCTGAAGAGACTTTAAGAACAAAAGTTAAAGGCAACTAATTCCAGGAAAGAACTACTGAGCGGACATTTAGTTACTGATCATTAAAGTCAAGTCAGGTCTTGACAAAAAGTAAAGGACCTTATTGTCTTCTGTTCCCACTTTTAGTTGTGTTCGACTACCTGTGTCATCTGTTGCAGACCTCCTTGTTAGTTATGAAAGAAAAAGGAAGACTCATAATGCCAAAGCCCACATACTCCAGGATCTATAGCAATGTTACAGTGTTCATCATTGTATACTACTACATAACTACATCATTATAGTTATGTCAAAGGCATGCAGGCTTATATCTTTTTTTTTTTTTTTTTGCATTGCTATTAGTCTTTCAGTGGCTACAAAGGAGTCAAGTAGATGATCTAATTTATTTGATCTTGTTAGCCACTCGTTTTAAAATTTACATAATAATCCTGTGATGAATATGTTGGTATGAGTTTTCCAAAGTTATATATTTCTGGGATTTCTACAAGTGGGATCTCTGGTCTGAGAACCATTTGGTTTTGGCTCTTAATATGTCTGTTGCATTGTTTTCCAAGAGGCATATCACAGTTCACAACCCTGTAAGCAATGTTTTCTGATCACCACTAACACTTTATAGATTGTATTATAGGCCATGCCCATGCACTGTTTGAAACTTGTCATGTTAACTCATTTAATCTTCACAACCACTTCCCAAAAACAGGTCAACCACCAGTTCAGAGAAAGGGTAACGTAACGATGCTGGTTCTGGTGATAATGGACAGTAATAGTGTTCCTCATCAGTTAGGTCTCGGTGAGTTAGAAACTTTGGAACTGGCCAGGCGCGGTGGCTCAAGCCTGTAATCCTAGCATTTGGGAGGCGAGATGGGCGGATCACGAAGTCAGGGATCGAGACCATCCTGGCTAACACGGTGAACCCCGTCTCTACTTAAAAATACAAAACAAAAACTAGGCACAGGCGAGGTGGCGGGCACCTGTAGTCCCAGCTACTCGGGAGGCTTGAGGCAGGAGACTGGCATAAACCCAGGAGGCCGGAGCTTGCAGTGAGCTGAGATCCGGCCACTGCCTCTAGCCCTGGTACAGGCCGACTCCGTCTCAAAAAAAAAAAAAACAAAAAGAAAGCTTTGGAACCTAAACCCTTCGTTTAAAACCTTACATGTGGGGCCGAGCATGGTGGCTCATGCCTGTTAATCCCAACACTTTGGGAGGTCGAGGACGGGTGATCACCTGACTCAAGG